TTTTGGGGGGGGGGGGGTTGTTTCCTTGTGGTTGTGGACAATCTTGAGCTGTTAATGTGAGACCAGTGAGACGTCGTATACAATGTAGAGCTATGCCAATAAACTTGATCTAACAGTATAATGGCTGTTGCTGCTAGCAGTGAAGGCAAATTCAGACCAGGTCATGAAACTAGAAGGGAGGGCATCTTTTACAGCAACGCAACGGTAAACTCCCATTTGACTAGGAAGAAAAATCTTTTTCCATTAGTCAGATGAGATTTGCTGTATGGCAGGAAGGTCTAGAGATAAGAGGGGATTATATTCACAGTGTTTGCTCTGTTGTTTGTTCTACAGTTAAAAGGTAAAAAATTAGTTACTGGCCCATTTTTTGTGCAATGGGCCTCTCACACACTAGCCTGCTATTGTTTCTTATTTCTCAATAACATTCCCTCCAGGGTCAAGTCCATCTCAGAAATAAATTGATATGTAGCATCACACATTCATGCTTGAGTGGTCTCCGAGTGCCTCAAAATTGCTGTTTGTACTCACAAAGCAGTTTGAGGGTGGGAGAGGGGAATGGCGTTGGCTGCGAGACAGGAATAGAGAGATGTGATGAGAAAAAAGGTGCAGCAGGGGACAAAGTAAAGTATTAACTAAAGATCTAACTAATTAAGAGTGATGCTCACCGGTGTAATCCCAGCTCAAGGGATGCTTCCATTTCTTCTGTAATTACTTCTCTGCCTTGTTTTTCCCCCTCACAAGATTTCTCTCCATCAAAACCAAGCACATGCAAACCCTTTTTTATCATATCCATGTGACGTCAGCAGCAGCTTGCATCCTTATTCCTTCCTGTCTCATTATACTGTTAATTTAAACAATGCAGCCCCAGAGAGGCAAGTGAGGGGTTTCATAAGCACTGGGCTATTTTGTCATTAAACTTTGATGCTGCTGTAATGAGTTAGTCATAAAGAAGATAGCTGGGTGGCAGGGAGAGAGCCAGAGCTGCTTGTATAGCCAGTGGCGGCTAAAGGCCATCAAGAGAAAAAAGGCTTCCCACAGAATATCACTCACATCCAAATCCTCCAGGATGTCTGGCCCAGGGTGTAATAACTCAGAAAAGCTCTGGCTCATGTGATTTGTGCTGTATTTTAGTTCTTTGGTTTTGTAGATGTAGCACTCACACGATCTCCCTATGGGGCGCAAACTACAGCTGATTGGAAATTAACTACACACATCACACGCATGAGAAATTGTTTAGGGACATCCGCTAATACTGGAGAGATGTGGTGGGCAACAAAACCCTTCTCAACTTTCTTCAACTTCCTTTGACTCCATCTTTTCAAAGGAATTAGCTTCTATCTTATTATGGTACTTCTCAACATATCTTCTTAGCTTTTTTCCAACTAGCTTGTTAATCATTCTACTCCTTAAAGAAGCCTTATCACCTCACCTTGCGAGTGAATGTCAAACACATTGTGCAGCAGAATCAGCTGCAATGACACCTGTGTTCACTCCACTGCATTCTTGGCACAGTCCTCATCTTTAGTCACGCAGGGATTGCTTTAGACATGGACGCTGCATGCATACAAGAGAGGGGACGGGCAGGAGAGTCATCTCAGGACCAGAGTTACAGCTCCAGGGAGAGGATGGCTTTATCTAGCCACAGCACATTCCTTTGTAATCACATTGCAGCAAAACACATTGAGAATGTCACTGCAAAACATTGTGCCACTTTAGAAAGGAGACAACAAGCAGGCTCAGTGTTCTTTGTCAGCATCTCAGAATAGCTGTCTGAGATTAAATTTAAACATTAATGTAGCAACACAAGCCCTTTGTTTTACTTCCGATTTAGTGTTCAGTGATGGAGTGAGGAGTGTTGTGAAATTTGCACTTTGCAAAATTGAGGAGCAGAGTGATGATTTTAGCAAACAGAGGCGTGCTGGGAGAGGCTTGGATGTGGAACATAGAGCTACTTTAACCTGGCACCACTTCAGTGTGATTCTGCAGTTCTGTACCTTAAATATGCAGCAAAAGCTGAAACTCAATCTTACAGTGTGACAGAGTAGATAGAAAAATACTGAAGACTTATCTTTGGTGTCTTTTCATATTGCTTTATGTAAGGTGTTATATCACTTAAAACAAGGCACAAAAGCGTTTTGAGTCTACTCCGTTCTCTCCCTGCGACTGCTAGTTGAATTTATAATTTTACGGTATTGAGAGGAACATCTGGAGTTAAATCAGCTGTAAAAAAAGAAATGACAGCTCACTGAAACAGGAGCTGGAGGCAGTCTACAGGTGGAGTGTGATGGGCACCAGACAGGTGGTGGTGCTGGCTGTGCTGGTAGTAGTGTTAGTGGTTCCAGTGTGTGTGCAGAGTTTTTGTGCTTGAATTTGGGTCTGTCTTTCTGTAGTGTATGAATGTGTGCATGACTGTGTGCTCATTTACTTGTACCTGTGTGTATATATATATACATAGTATATACCGTAAAAAGGTGTTTGTATCACCCAGGTGACCTCTGAGCCTCACTTCTGGTGAGCCTATGTACACATATACACATAAATATGGCCACACAAGTCTGCCATATTTAAGCAGCATGTGTTAGGTATCTGTATGTATACCGTGGATCTCTGTAGCTGTGTAGGAGGCCATGTATAATGCACACCACCCCCTCCTACCCCAGCTTTGAAGCCAGGCCAGTACTAATGTTGTAGCTTTTCCCCCTGCACTGGCACACTTCCTCAGAAACACATAATAGGGAGCGGGGAGGGGGAGTCTAAAAAGGCTGTGCAAGAACAAAAGAGGAAAGGAGGAGAAGACAATAAGAGAGATGCAAGGAAGTCGAAGGAGTTATGATTTGGCCTGGGGAAACTCGAGCTGTTCCCTTCCTCGTAAAAAACTAACAGGAGCCAGGTGAAGCCAAGAGACTAGTCCATCTCCATGGTGACCTCTGCACACCATACTGAAAGTCACTGTGGCAATACAGCTGTGTTTCTGTCCACAATTCTGCTTACCATGGGAACCTTTCTGTCTGCGATTAGCTTTGCCCCACAGAGAAGCCCAAGTGATCTTATCAGGTGTCCCTTCACGGAGCCCACAGTGAGGTCACCATCACATAAGATTTGCTGACTTCAAACTCTGCAGCTTGAGATGAGGAGCGAGCTACACAGGCAGGAGGTCTTGTGAGGTTAATGTGAGTTTATCTCTTTCTCTCTCTTGACTTTAAGCCTGAGAACTCCAGGGAGAGTGAGGAACAACAACAGCAGCAGAAGACAAGAAAAGAAACAGGAACCACAAACATCCAAGAGTTGGACTAACTTAATGAGCCGCTCTGTTATTTAAATGGAAAATCCATGTTTGCAATTTCAAAGGGAAATAAGAGAAAGTGGGTCAACAGAATACAGATGCATTGCCGAATGTGCTATAATTTGGCCTCATTAGATGAGCATGCACAAATACTGTGTACATAGTGTACATAATGATGTACACATCATTGTGTACATACTGTAGGTGACTTTTTATGGGACTGTGTGGCTGCGTGGCAGTGCAGTGTGAGTGTGTGTACATGTGCTTGTGCTTGTTGTTTAGCTATTCCATTAAGGGATATGAAGAGCGGCAGATAACAAAGCATGATAACAAGTGATGTGGTAATAATCCATTGGATCACATATCAGTGCCTCCCACCTGAAAGCAATCTCTCTGGAAGGTTTTACATCAGTACAACAGAGGAAAGAGGGGATACCACAGCTCACCATGTAGCTGACAAATTCAAAAAAGGATAAAGATCCAGAGGGAGAGAACAGGCGCACTAATGATAGGCTGACAATGCTGAGCATTTCTGCGAAATCCATAGAATAAGCTGCAAGAAGGAGCAGCATGAACCTTCTGTATTCACTTAAAAGTTTTACGAATGTATCCATTATGCAACCAAGAGAGAATTAAAAAAACATGTGGCACACTCACTTTTGTCAGTGACCCGCGGAGTGCATTTTAAAATGAAGCGCTGAAAGTCTGATGGGAAAAAACGTGGATAGGGTGGTGCAGGGAGACATGTCACACTTTAGGACTACAGGGCTGCAAAAGCAGGAGCTGAGGTGCCCGAGGGCGGAAAAGGCATGCAAGATATGTTTTCATTTAGCCCTATGACTGGCCATGTAAAACACTGATGTGAGACTCTCACTTTGTTGTTTTTCTCTGCAGCTCCCAGATCTACAAACTTTGTCTAAGGCAGCAACTTTGCTGTTTATCAGTTCCTGCGAGGTGAGAGAAATCCTGTTTGTGCACCCTTGGGAAGTATCACTGCTGATGTGAATTTCACAATGTGAGGGCAAAACACTGGAGAGGAGTGGAGGGAACGCAGGAGAGGACAGGAGAGAAATGTTGTGTGGGCTGAGGCACTGGCAGGTGCAGAGGTTTGTGAGTGTATTCATGCGCATGCGTGTGTGTGTGTGTGTGTGTGTGTGTTGGAGAGTGTGTGGGTGCTGAAGAGAGCAGAGGACTGCGATTGAAAGAGGGGGAAGAGATATTGAGTGGGAAAGCAGAGAGAAGGATAGAGAGAGATGTGGTCGACAACTTGTGCAAGTGGGAGGAACAATATGGTGGCCGATGGTGGTAAGATACGCAGACAGCTTGCAAATGTCAAACCAGCCTCTGATGGTGTTTTATTGATCAGTGTGTTTGTGTGAGAGCATCTGTATTCCCTGTTGGTAGATGTAGCAAGTGATTTTAGAAGCATTTCTTTCAGTGCAGTGTAGCATTCATTCCCAGCAGGACTGACAAAGCACTGAAAAATAAAAGCCTAGAAAATAACTACTGTTGTGAACAAAGCCACCTTTTGTTCAGAACAAAAAGGTAGCTTAGTCTGAAGAAGCCAGACTGATGTCTACAATTGACCTCAGCCAGGACAGAATAAATGCACTTCAATACATTTAGATCCCTAAGTGTATGTAATTCAAAAAGATAGTTTAGTTAATACTAGCCATCACTCAATCCACTTTTCGTTCGCTGTATGTCCATTGTTATTATGTTCAATCAGTCAGGATTCACGCTACGTTAAAACAGACACTTGCCATCACTACACGCTGAATTTCCAGCTTTAAAAGCATGCCTCAGGCTGTGATGAAAGGAAAGAGGTCCCCAGAGTTAAGATAACAGGAACAAGCTTGTTAGGGAGGAAGCATTTCTCCTGAGAAAGCATCTATGTTACGATGGTCAATACACAAGCTTCAGCATTACCACTATAATAAAGGAAATTACTTACTGAACACTTAGAACAAAGTGGTTTAATAAGTCTACAGCTAAGAAATAATCCACCAAATACATGTTATTGAAAGTTCAATTGTAGGACAGTACTACGCAGGAAAAGGAAGCCAGACTCTGGCAACCTGGCCACTGGTCAAAGGCCTGCTGACCCGTGGTGCTCTCTGAGCCCCTCCACACCAATAAACATCCTCTCAGCAGTGTCCCACACAGAGCTGCACTGTCTGCACGCCCATTCAGAACACGAAAAAAAACTCTTCTTCTTTGTTGGGACACACGGACACACAAAAAAACACATTCTTCCCTGAACTGTTGCACACAGTTACAAATGACTTATTCTGTGTGAGGCAAAACAATGAAAATGCATTGAGTCAAATGTCATACAGCAACATGCAGTGGTATGAAGTTACCAAACAAGCTTAACAGCAGCTACGTCTGCATATTAATTTCAGTCTGAACACACAAAGAATTCAAACGCTGAACTAAAATAACATCCAACACTGCATGACACTGCATCAATTCTCAATCAGAATAACATATGCAACACATAACACAGCCCAGACTAATGACTATATCATTTCCTGTCTGTGGCTGCCAGCCTTACCATTACCTGGCAGCATGTAGCCTCCATCAAATGTCCACAGATGCCACAGCTGACAGCAATAATGCCTACTCGTCTGTCAGTCTGTCAGCTCGAACCACAGCTCCTAATAAAGACGTGCTTCCACAATAATCTCCCCACCTCCTCCTCCCACCACCTGACCACCTCTCTCCAGCTCCTCCGCCTCCTCAGTTCACCACCGCGTCCCTCACTTTAGGAGTAAACACCATTTCTTAGCAGTGATAAACATCCCCCCCAATCTCTCTCTCTACTTTTTCGGCTGATCACATCTGATCTGTAGTGCGGGGCTAAAAATAGCCATCTAACTGCACGGAATGGCAGATAAACACACACACATACACACACATACACACACAGCGACAAACAGCTGCACAGACCTGTAGAGTCCAAAGCCTCCTCGATGAGTGGAGGTAAACGCAGTCCATCCATAGCCCCCTGTAGCTGCAGCGAGAGGGAGAGACAGCAAAAGAGAGTGTGGGCGAGAGAGGGTCAGAGGCTCCACACGCCCACCTCAGCTGCAGGGAGAGAGAGAGAGAGAGAATTGGAAAGTACTGAGCGCAGCGTCAAGTACTGGCGTACACACACAGGCTGGCTTGAATGTATGCACACACACACAAACACAAACACACAACACACACACGCACGCACACACAAACAAGGCTGTACCTCGGGAGAATTTGGGAGGATCCGGGGAGCTGAAGGCTGAGCTCCGGAGCGTGGGAGAGATGCCGAGAGGGTTAGAGGGGAGGAGCAGAGTGGAGGGAAAGATGCTGTTTTCCAGACGGCAAGCTCCGCACTAACCTCTCTCTCTCTCTCTCTCTCTCTCCCTCTCCCTGCCTGGTTTACACTATTTTTGTACTCTTATTTGAACTTCCTCCCTCTTTTCAGTGCCTCTTATTGCTCCTTACTCCCCCCCCCTATTTTTGTCTTTATTATGGACATATAACACACATATAGAAACCATAACCATCACTTACATGGTCTGACTAAGGGAAACACGCAAAAACAACATAATAAAGTCTGTATACTAATAAATCAATAAATAGATCATATCTGTTTGAAATTTTGGTTTGGAGTTTAAGTCATATGTTAGTCTTGGAGTCTCCCTTTGATGTTATGGTAGCCCTTATCAAGTGTTAAATAATTTGAGAGCTCAATTCACCAGTGTGAAAGAGTTGGCAAAATAATAAATCTCCAGTGAATGGCACTGCGTTTAGCTGCCAAATGCTAAATTTATATATATTTAACTCCCAGTTGAGGATTTTAATATGCTTCATGATGACTGCAAAGAGATAACATGACAACAAACTCATTTCTAAGAGGACCAAAACAAACTCCCATATTTGCTCCTTCCAGCAGTCACCACTCATCTTTGCTTTCCTGCACACACACACACAAACACACACACAAATACACACAGACATGCATGCTTCCTCAAACACTTGTGTATGTTCAGCCTTGGCCCCAAAGCCAAATTAATTTACCTATAATGAGATCCAGACTGGCTGTTGCAGTGGAGGCTGACAGCTACCACTGCAGATTACTGATCATTTCCCCTCCATTGTTCATTTCCTCCCCACCTCTCGCTGACTCTCTCTCTCTCTCTGTTTGCTGCTACAGAACAGTGTCTCTTATGCTATAAACAGCATCAACCCCCCCCCCCCCCCCTTTCCATTTTCATCACTACCCTTCACACACTTACAAACATCTATTTATCTCTGTCTGTCTCTCACCTCTTTCTTTCTCTCTCTTTCTCTCTCTCTCTCTCCCTCTCCCTCCTTTCCAGCCGCTATCACATCTGGCAACTTCTGCGTGGTACATAAGGAGCCATAACTGTGCGTTGTGCCGTGAAACAAACAAGTCAGCCTAAAGAGAGAGAGGAAAGGAGGGCCAGCCTTAACTGTTCGTTGGCCCAGTAGGAGGATATTCCTATCAGAGCACTGTCAAAGAGCAGGAAGTCGTTTGCAGACGTACACACACACACACACACACACACACACACACAAACAATATAGCCACACACATATGGAACTTGCCAACATCTCAAAGAGGAAATGTGCAGAGAAAAAAAAGCAGAAGTGCAACGGAAATAGAAAGAAGCAGAGAGTCTGTATGTGAGTGTCTGCATGTGCTTCTTTGTACCTGTGACAAAACAGCAAGAGATTTCTCAGGGACGGGCAACAAGTGACGAGGGATAAAAGCTACTAGATTGAAAAGATTGATGCCTGCGTATAAGCACTTCCTTCACTGTGACTCTGTGCAGCTTTTTTCCTCAGGCAGCTGTAATCCCCAGACAAGGCCACTGAGCATGGAGGCATCCTTCAACTGGAAATCATCCCACAGCCTCCTTGTCCCACACACAATAACAGCCCCCCCACACACACACACACGCACACAGGAAGGGAGAGCTGTGGAGTGGAGAAAGTTGGCCCAAAAGGTGTTGATAATGAGCTGACAATGCCTGGCTTCAATCCGACCGTGTCACTCTAGCGTGGCAGGATTCCTGGTCGCAGAGCAGAACGGGCACGGGGGGGACGCAAGATACCATCAAACCACGGTCAAACAGTAAAATAATCCTCGCTGTTTGTTTGAAACTGCTTGCTGAAGCAGATGGGTGGGATATCGCTGCCTTGAGACGGCTCAAGTGCCAAAGTACACTAAGATGACTGTTAAATGTTGTGCTGTTGGAAGAGACACTCTAATTTTTCTCTGCGGCAAACTCCACCCATATTATAATACTCTACAAAGCCAAAAAGCAGTAACTACATATTTTGTTAAAATTTATTTAAGACAAAAAAAATCTGTCTTAACATTTATTTTGCCGTATAAAGTTGTTTAAAACAGCATGGTAATGTGCACTACACAGCTAAAGCAAGAAAACCAAATCTTGCTAAAGCTAGCTAGAGATAGCCACAACCTATCCTGGACTGAAGCCCCATAACTGCTGAATAAATTGATGGATATTGTTGAATTCCCATCTTAGTAACTTTCTTATCCCACATAAATAAGGCAGAAGCTACATCCCGTCATGGAGAATGAAAATAATCCTGCTGAAAAGATAGCTTAGCGTTAGCTTAGCAGAGGAGCAGTATCTGCCTTGTTTGACTAGAGGAAATCACAATTTGATGAATATTGGTGAATTAACATCTTAGTAACTTTGTTATTCCACATAAGGCACAATTTGGTGTGGTTAAGCTACTTTTAAATATCACTTATTTAAACATACATTTATTCATTATATTAATTTCAAGGTAAATATTATTAGCAGGCGACCTAAAACAGTGGTGGGCCTAGACAGAGCAGATTTTGTTTGCTGATACTGATCTTTTCCCCTCGATTATATTCCCTGAAGTCGCTCCAAAGGGTGACATTAATTATCTTTTGTAGTAAAATAGTAAGTAGAAAAATCCATAATATGAAGGATTTACATCATCTGTCCTAGCAGTCAGTTGAAAACCCTTTATTCTGAACTTTTTGGAGTAACTGCTCTGCCTAGGAAAAAAATAAACAATATAAGGGAAAATCAAACTACAAAAAGTATCTACAAGTGCCACTCAACCCAGGTCTGGTTGCCCTGCAGTATGAGTGTGTCAGAGATGAGCTGTTTGTTCTGTAACAGAGAGCTGTCCCGCAGAGTGTGAGGTCATACACGGGGGAATTTATTCACTTATACTGCAGCCTTTGTTTTGTACAAATTCAACAAGTCATATACGAGGCGCCCACGGCTACAGTATAGACCTCAGGAATGTGAGCCTGCAATCGACATGTAACACAAACGGACACAGAGCAGAAAAAACACTCCAACAGTTTCTTAAAGTATTTGGATTGCGTATCTGTGTTTTCACAGACAACATACTCCATTCACACAATCTGTAGTGGAATCATGGGTTAAATGGGAATGTTTAAAAAGGATTTACAGAAAAATGTGCATCATAAATGTGATTATGTGTGGAATTCATGCAGCCTTGGTTCTAGGGATGGCGATGTTGGTCTTTTGTTCAGAATGAAATATCTCAACAAATATTAGATTGATTGCTGGAAATGATGTACAGACGTAATCAGGGTCTCCAGAGGAGAAATCCTTCTGACTTTGGAGATCCTGAGACATCCTTGAGCCCCATTGACAGGTTGATTTTTTAAACGTCTGAATCAACTATTGGATGAAGATATTCAGATATCCATGATGACTCCCTGACTTTTCATCCAGCACCATCCTCAGGTCGAATTCTTAATTTGCCTGCAAAACTAATGACATTCCCATCAGTCTTTTCATGTTTAATGTTAAATAGCAAATGTTAGACAACTTATGTTAGCATTTATTTCACAGCACTGCCTCACCTAAGTATGTCCTCACAGGGCAGCAAGCATGGTTGCAGTCTCTTGTTTATTCATTTTCTTAAAATAAAATCAAAAGGCTCATTATGATCTGCAATCCCTGGGCAAGTTGATGCTAAGAACTAATAAAAAAACAACCAAGATAAAAACAAATGGACAGACAATATCAAACACTGACATATTATCACCTTATCAAGTTGTTTTGGTGAACATGCCAGTATTTCCTTTCATTTTAACATCCAGGAGACGCAGGGCTACATTAGGATTCATTGTTGTGTACATCAAATATTTATTCTCCTTTTAGCCCCTAAATGTTGTGGCTCTTTAGCTGCTAAATGCTCCTCCGTGTTCACCAGCTCTTCAATAACTTTGCTGCTGTTTGGTGCTGGGCAGCAACTGTAAAGTGGGTTTATCAGCCTTACTGCTGACAACAGGTTGATGACAGCACTTAGACTGAACCAAAAGAGTAAAATTGTTGGCCATAAAACGACAACAATGAGCTGAAAGACACTGTAACACCATTATCTCACCCAAAAGAGGCAATGCTATAGCTTTAAGAAATACATTTCTGTCACATTTTCACTTCTTTTTTTTTGCGTGTTGTTTACTGGCTCTCCAGGTGAAGTGTTGTCGTATATAGTCTGCACTGTGCTTTTAATAGGAATTTGGTGAGGTGACGAATCACATGCACAGAGAACAGGAGGAACAGATGGTCAAAATGGCTCCAAAAGCTCATTTTCGTATCAGGGCCCCATGGTGGGTAATCAAGCCCTGAGTAGAATACAGCTTACAGGAAAAAAAGACCTAAACGCAGAGTCATACAAACCAGTATCAGACTCCACATATGGCACGCAGACTTGACATTGATGGACCAAGCAAAATAATATCATATTATTATATAGTTTTTCTATAAAAAATACACTGAGCAGAGGACACATTTTTTAGGCTAAAAATCTTCCTTTTTTTTTTCAAAGGTTACATTGTTTGGTTGTCTTATAGAACACGCTGATATCAATATTTCTTATTGACATTTCTTTTCACTTGTCTTATGTTAAGGTAATCCAAAAGTAACAGAAAGTAATAAAGTGACTTTACTTTAATACTGTGATACTTGGATTAGGTTACTGACTACATTTTTGTGTAGTGTATTTAGGTTACAATTTTACAGTAACCCTCCCAATCCTGGTTACTTCTCCAAAAAACAATGTTTTTAAAACACTCAAGTATGTTGTAAAATCCCTAAAATGAGTTCCAGTGATCATAATGGTTAACTGCTTGTCCAGTGCTCTGTGGTCAAATGGCACAAGCCCCCAATACAACCATTTGGTTGACATAATTTGCTTGCGTATACACCAGAGGCATAAACAGACTGTATAATTACTCTTCAGTGACAGTGTATCATTGTCACTGTCAGCTGGCCATGTAATAGAACCTCAGAGCTATAAAAGACAGCTATTCACCCCACAATCCACTTTACAACACTGGGCTGCCAGCCTTTAACACCAAGCATCACTGTGGCGCTCCATCGGTTGCTAAGCAACTAAAGGAAATTGGAGGTGCCTTTGAATTAGGGAATTTTAAGAGGTGATTTATATGAAGACCTTGATGATAAATGCCTCTATAAATCTGGAATTTTCTACCAGCCATTTCTCTTTATTCGTCATCGGACGTTCTAATTCTGGTCACAGACACTGCAGCGTCAGAGCTGCGCACCTTGTGCCTGCTGAGGTAAGAGACTGTGGCTCTTTGTGAGATGCTGGGTACATTTTTCATGTTTTAGTGCAAAAGCAGAGGAAGGGAACATGGCCAGTTTCCATGACACCATAAACAGGAAATGGGAAGGGGCGAGTCCTGCCACAGGAGTCTAAATCAGTGTGGAAGTTGCCAGGGAGGTCAGAACTTTCCCATAATATGAGTTCATGCATGCAAAGTGACTGAAACGCACAAACCCACACTCACACAATTATTAATAAACACTCAAACACACACACATACGACTAAAAACATCACAAAATTGAAACCAGCCGTGCTTAAATCTAATTCTATTCACACACTTCTCACTCACTCTTTTGGCTTCCTGGAAGTGATTAAAAATGTGTCCCTGTCACTCCCCCTCAGTCGAGGAGAGCGGGAGCGGAGCTGCAGCAGTCCTTTTGGTGGCCTCCTCCATGCGGGTCCCATCCCCTACGGTCACCATGCCAACCTGTGTGAGGAGGAGGCTTAGCTGTGGGCCCAAAGAGACTCAATGAGGTCCTGGGATAATTAGCAGCTCATTATGGAGCCCAGTGAATGGGCCAACGAGCTCCAGGAGCCACAAGGGAGAGTGCAATGGAAAACACACAGGATCAGAGCACACATCAAAGGGAAGTGCTCACTTTTTAGAACACATAATACAGAGGAGAGAGACTGGGAAAGAAAATATTGCTCTCCATTCACACCTACAAATATAGCTCATAATCCCCGTTTTTAAGCCTCTCTCTGTGTGTCTGTGTGTGTGTGTGGGTGGATGGCTGTGTGCAAATGTGTGTTAGTTAGGATCTCTGCGTCACACCAATATTTTTTCTCCCCCAGAGGCCTTAGTTGCTCCACAAATGCATAAAACACAGCTAGTCCTCCTACACACACACACACACGGTGCACACAACTCTACTCTTAAACTTAAGCTCCCGTGAAGTAGAGGAACACTGTGTCAGTGCCAGAGATCCCAGTTAAGCTATCTGTCTATCATCCCCATTCCTGTTCCCATATCTCACCGTGTGTCTGTGCCTCTGCGTTGCATGCAGGCGGGCACTACTCAGTCACGCAGACTAAACCATCTACACCGCTGTGCCAGGTGACCCATATTGCAGTGCGGATGAGTTTAACTTTGCATGAGCTTCATTGTGTGTCCCTGTGTCTGGATCTACTGCTCCCCTAACAGTGATACGCAGCAGCAATGTTGATGCTGAGGTGTTGTGTGTTATCTGTTATATGAAGGTGATATTTAACATCAGGTTGA